TCACCCTTATAATTATTTTGGTAAAATGAGTGAGTGAGTATGGTTTTACGCCACTTTTAGCAATATTCCAGCAATTTCACGGCAGGGGACACCAGAAATGGGCTTCACATGTACCCATGTAGGGAATCAAACCCAGGTCTTCAGCATGACCAGGAAATGCATTAACCACCAGGCTACCCCACCAACCCTGAGTTTGGTGAGAGAACTATGTTAGTACTTCAGTTACACCACTGTATGTCAGCTTGGTGTGGGAGGAAAGCCCACAGTGATGCAGGACTTGTTATGTTTACCACTTTAGTGGAACTATGAGCACAGGCATGCTAATGACAAACCTGGAAACAGCGAGAAACTGTTATTCAAGTCCATGATCAAAGTTACCTGGGTCACCAAGGGATGAAACTCCGCACTGCGAATTGAAGCATCTTCTATGACTGAGCCACCCATGCCAACTTATATGTACTAACATGTCAAGGTTTCATGACCATCAGTTGCTTGGGTCTTTTCTGTTCTAGAGTACCCACGGGACAGGAACGACCAGTTATATTTCTGCCAATGACCTAATATGCCTTCTAGAATACATGACTCTAGCTACGAAAGTTGTTGTTTCATATAAGGTAAAGGCCAGACTGTTACACTGCATATCTTGTCCCTGATTAGACACACACTGACCATGAGTAATCCAATTACCGTCCCAGTCAGCTAACAGGAGAAACTCTACCAATAGCAGTAATGTGATTTTGCCACTTAACACCCTTTCAGATAGTTTCCGTTTGGGTTATATCTTATTAAAAGCTCCTGACCTGTCTCCAAGCTAGGCCTGACCTTTGGGCTGATGAGGATAAGTGTCAGAGGATGAAGACAATTCCCTGGGCTGTTGTCTGATGACAGGTATGTAAACAGAGCTGATTGAAGAAGATCACGGAGAGGAGGGTGTCGGCCATTGAAGTGACTGTCTGTCCCATTGGTCATCTGATTGAAGATCTCGGAGAGGAGGGTGTCGGACATTGAATGGACTGTCTGTCCCATTGGTGATCTGATTGAAGATCTCGGAGAGGAGGCTGTCGGCCATAGGATGGACTGTCTGTCCCATTGGTCATCTGATTGAAGATCTCGGAGAGGAGGGTGTCGGACATTGAAGTGACTGTCTGTCCCATTGGTCATCTGATTGAAGATCTCGGAGAGGAGGCTGTCGGCCATAGGATGGACTGTCTGTCCCATTGGTCATCTGATTGAAGATCTCGGAGAGGAGGGTGTCGGACATTGAATGGACTGTCTGTCCCATTGGTGATCTGATTGAAGATCTCGGAGAGGAGGGTGTCGGACATTGAATGGACTGTCTGTCCCATTGGTCATCATTGCCAGCAGCAAGTCCTGGTTCTAAGATGTTAATGCTACAATATTTCAGCTCTTAATGATTATCTAAACTTCGGGAAGTGGTCCACTGTCAGTGTAGTCATCTCGTACTGCAGGAAGTGCTCCACTATCAGTGTGGTCATCTTGTACTGCAGGAAGTGGTCCACTGTCAGTGTAGTCATCTTGTACTGCAGGAAGTGGTCCACTGTCAGTGTGGTCATCTTGTACTGCAGGAAGTGCTCCACTGTCAGTGTGGTCATCTTGTACTGCAGGAAGTGCTCCACTGTCAGTGTAGTCATCTTGTACTGCAGGAAGTGCTCCACTGTCAGTGTAGTCATCTTGTACTGCAGGAAGTGGTCCACTGTCAGTGTGGTCATCTTGTACTGCAGGAAGTGGTCCACTGTCAGTGTGGTCACCTTGTACTGCAGGAAGTGGTCCACTGTCAGTGTAGTCATCTTGTACTGCAGGAAGTGCTCCACTGTCAGTGTGGTCATCTTGTACTGCAGGAAGTGGTCAACTGTCAGTGTGGCCATCTTATACTGCAGGAACTAAGACCAACATAAGAGCCCAATTGGATAAGTCATCTCCAAAATTTACACTTTAAAACTTGTGGGCATTTTTATACTATAAAAATTCTTGATTCTAGTACTGTAGGAAGCAGTCCACTATGTCAGTGTGAAGTCTTCACTCTACAGGAAGTGGCCACTATGTCAGTGTGGGGTCTTCACTCTACAGGAAGTGGCCACTATGTCAGTGTGGAGTCTTCACTCTACAGGAAGTGGCCACTATGTCAGTGTGGGGTCTTCACTCTACAGGAAGTGGCCACTATGTCAGTGTGGAGTCTTCACTCTACAGGAAGTGGCCACTATGTCAGTGTGGAGTCTTCACTCTACAGGAAGTGGCCACTATGTCAGTGTGGAGTCTTCACACTACAGGAATTGGCCACTATGTCAGTGTGGAGTCTTCACTCTACAGGAAGTGGCCACTTTGTCAGTGTGGAGTCTTCACTCTACAGGAAGTGGCCACTATGTCAGTGTGGGGTCTTCACTCTACAGGAAGTGGCCACTATGTCAGTGTGGAGTCTTCACACTACAGGAATTGGCCACTATATCAGTGCAGTCAGACATCTGTCACCTTAAAGGATCAATGACTCACATGATCATCCTGACATTGCCTGTGCCCTTACTTAATGGTACAAATGAGGTCAGTGGTTAAGATTGCATAAAATTGCATTGACCACCTATTCCCATGTCTGCTGATTTGAATGCTCTATGGATTTCATGGTCGCAGCAACCATGGCTTTTATTCACTCATCGACATCCTACAAACCAAATCATTGGTTGGAATAACATCATCTTTCCACAATGTCTCCTAGATTCAGCGTCCATCAGCATCATTCATCCAAGAAGTATTCACTCTTCTTCATTTGTCCAACTCAGCAAACATAATACCAAATCATCTAACAGTTACATATTCATTGAACCCTTATGACAACAGGCCCGTGAAATTCGAACATATCCTCTTATTAACATGGTCATAAATTCCAGGAACATACAGGATGACAATAATACATAGCTGCACACACTCTCGGTATGGCGCCATCCCAGCAGTAAACCTTTGGCTTACTGTCAACATCAATAACACGGCCAAACTGACCGGATAAAGTTTCCCATTTCCTTGCAAGCATGTATTATCAAACACAGACTGGTCTTTATCCCCATAATGAAGGTAATCCTCTTGCCAGGGATCTAGAGATGCCTGGACCATGTGCCTGGCTGTGTTATATTAATTACTGGTCATCTCCAAGGCTTAGTAATGCTAATCCTGAGCATGTTGCCAAGTTAAACGGTCATCTCATTTGAAGTTGCAGTGATTGATGAGATAGGAAGAATGCATTTTCAGATATAACACAACACAATATCCGTTTGAAAATTGTAATTACATTTGACAATCATTTCCAGATAATTTCCATTTGAAAATATGACCAAATTAACATATTTAGGCAAAAACTGGACAAACAGATTTTCTGATTTTGACTTTACAGCAATAACACTGCCAGCCCCAGCCTGAGTTCATTTGGCGTTAGTTTGTTTGTTTGTTTGTTTGTTCTTGAATGCTGCACCCAGCAATATTCCAGCTATATGACCGCAGTCTGTAAATAATCGAGTCTGGACCAGACAATCCAGTGATTGACATCATGAACATTGATCCACGCAATTGGGATATGATGAAATGCATCAACCAAGTCAGTGAGTCTGACCATCCGATCATGTTAGTCGCCTTTTACAACAAGCATGGATTGCTGAAGACCTATTCTACCCCGATCTTCACAGGTCACTTTGACATTAGATCCGGGTGACAAATTCGTAGTCACTCTCACTGACTTGGTTGATGCATGTCATTGTATTCCAATTGCAAAGTTCAATGTTCATGATATCAATCACTGGATTGTCTGAGCAAGACTTGATTACTTACAGACAGAGGTCATATAGCGGGAAGTGTGAATTGTAGCATTTAAAAACAAACAATCAAACAAACAAACAAACAAACAATCACCTAATGTTAAAAGTTTTCTCAGGGCTAATAGAATTTCAGGTTTTTTATGGGTAGTCCAATCTTTTCACTTAAAGGGCAAGTAATTGTTCCAGATACTTTTAAGTTCTGACACACACAACACTTAGAAAAGCCACTGTATTTGCTTGTTTACGGTTGAACACTGCCATCTACCTACATGACAGCTGACGGTAAACAACTGACATTATGAGGAATGACCCATGTCATCAGAGTATGTCAGATTCAACCGAATCACTGAGTCTGGCCATCCAGTGATAGAAATTGGCACTCATCCTGTAGTCCTTGCCAAACTGCCCAACAGTTAAGGTATCATGAGGACAAGTACATATTTGACATTTTGAAGGTTTTGCTACATGTAATCATCACAAGTACTAGAGGACTAAATATGTTAGTTTCTATCCCTGTCATCTGATCCAGTAAGTCACATCTTACAACAAGCATAAGATGCTGAATCATGAGACAGCGTCAAGCCCTTGTCAGAACCCTAATGTTAACAGCTACAAAAATAGTGATGTCTTGATACAAATAACAAAGAAGACCTCAAGGACCCCAGAACCTTAATTATTTTCTACACAGTGTTACATATTCTGATCTCAATGAACAAAAGCCCTGTGGGTACTGTCCTTCTTCAGACAGAATATTTGTGACATTTGTCAACACTTCATAGCAAGGTCCATAAATAAATAACAGAGTAAACCAAACACTTCCTGCGTGCTTCCTTGAACATCAACCAACATTATTGTTGACTATCAAACAATATTACTGCAAAGTAACCAGTCTATCAGCACTGAGAGACTGGCCAGTGCCACGGGGAAACAGACATGATGAAAGATAAGCACACAGGTCCATGGTCGCACACAGGTCCATGGTCGGCAAGTGGAAGTCTGCCACAGTGAATCAGATGTTCTTCAGCATGCCCATTTCTTATTTTGCTCAGAAGCAGGAAACATAACCACCCAATCAAAGATCGAGTGGAAGAGGGTGAGTGAATGAAATCGGTAAGTCATGGATGTAGATAAGCACGACAAATGATGAGGATAAGAATGGGAATCGACAAGACAAGTGTAACTTACTTCTTGCTTTGTGCGCTTTCTTTGACGTGGGCTGCCATCGTATCTCCGTCATGTCATTGCTGAGCGAGAAGAAGCGGTGGTACTGCCGACTATTGGATCGCACCTTTATCAACTCACTGCCATTCTGCATGTACGCCAGGCAGTCCTGGGCTGAAAACACAAAACATGCATTAGATAAATAATTATCCAGTGTTCACTCTATAGCATAGTAATTGTTTGTTTGTTTCTTTGTTGTTTAACGCCACACTAATATTCCAGCTACATGATGTTAGTCTGTAAATAGTCCAGTCTTACCAGACAAACCGGTGATTGATATCATGAGCATCGATCTAAACAACTGGGATACAATGACATACATCAATCAAGGCAGTGAGCCTGACCCAACAATCCATTTAGTCCCCTCTTCATGACATTCTCAGGTGGCAGGGGACCAATTATAATCAGGATATGAATGAGATATTTCAGTTATGACACTGAAAATATCAGCAATGTGTGTCACAAGGGTGTAAGGTTTCTATATCTAGCTATATCTAGGTATCTATATCTAGGCTGTCACGCATACGAGTGACCCCCTCTCATTCATCATAACATTAATCACTGGTATGTGTGGTCCAGGCTATGTCAAGTTCAGGTAACTCCCATATTACTGCTGACTGCGGTGTTCAACAGGAAGCAACCATCACTACCCTCCAACTAATCAGTGCAAATAGTGACGTTTTATCGTTACCCTCCAACTAAACAGTGCAAATAGTGACGTTTCATGGTTACCCTCCAACTAATCAGTGCAAATAGTGACGTTTTATTGTTACCCTCCAACTAAACAGTGTAAATAGTGACGTTTTATCGTTACCCTCCAACTAAACAGTGTAAATAGTGACGTTTTATCGTTACCCTCCAACTAAACAGTGTAAATAGTAACGTTTTATCGTTACCCTCCAACTAATCAGTGTAAATAGTGACGTTTTATCGTTACCCTCCAACTAAACAGTGTAAATAGTGACGTTTTATCTTTACCCTCCAACTAAACAGTGTAAATAGTGACGTTTTATCGTTACCCTCCAACTAAACAGTGTAAATAGTGACGTTTTATCGTTACCCTCCAACTAAACAGTGTAAATAGTGACGTTTTATCTTTACCCTCCAACTAATCAGTGTAAATAGTGACGTTTTATCGTTACCCTCCAACTAAACAGTGTAAATAGTGACGTTTTATCGTTACCCTCCAACTAATCAGTGTAAATAGTGACGTTTTATCGTTACCCTCCAACTAAACAGTGTAAATAGTGACGTTTTATCGTTACCCTCCAACTAATCAGTGCAAATAGTGACGTTTTATCTTTACCCTCCAACTAATCAGTGCAAATAGTGACGTTTTATCGTTACCCACCAACTAAACAGTGTAAATAGTGACGTTTTATCGTTACCCTCCAACTAAACAGTGTAAATAGTGACGTTTTATCATTACCCTCCAACTAAACAGTGCAAATAGTGACGTTTTATCATAACCCTCCAACTGAACAGTGCAAATAGTGACGTTTCATCGTTACCCTCCCAACTAAACAGTGCAAAAAGTGACGTTTCATCATAATCCTCTAACTAAACAGTGCAAATAGTGACGTTTCATCATAACCCTCTAACTAATCAGTGCAAATAGTGACGTTTTATCTTTACCCTCCAACTAATCAGTGTAAATAGTGACGTTTTATCGTTACCCACCAACTAAACAGTGTAAATAGTGACGTTTTATCGTTACCCTCCAACTAAACAGTGTAAACAGGAGAGACATGAACGGAGACATGAACGGAGACATGAATGGAGAGACATGAATGGAGACATGAACGGAGACATGAATGGAGACATGAATGGAGAGACCTGAACGGAGACATGAATGGAGAGTCATGAATGGAGTCATGAATGGAGTCATGAATGGAGAGACATGAATGGAGAGACATGAACGGAGACATGAATGGAGAGACATGAATGGAGAGACATGAATGGAGAGACATGAACGGAGACATGAATGGAGAGACATGAACGGAGACATGAATGGAGAGACATGAATGGAGAGACATGAATGGAGACATGAATGGAGAGACATGAATGGAGAGACATGAACGGAGACATGAATGGAGATATGAACGGAGACATGAATGGAGAGACCTGAACGGAGACCTGAACGGAGACATGAATGGAGTCATGAATGGAGAGACATGAATGGAGAGACATGAACAGAGATATGAATTGAGAGACATGAACAGAGATATGAATGGAGAGACATGAATGGAGAGACATGAACAGAGATATGAACGGAGACATGAATGGAGAGACATGAATGGAGACATGAACGGAGACATGAACGGAGACATGAATGGAGAGACATGAACGGAGACATGAATGGAGATATGAATGGAGATATGAATGGAGAGACATGAACTGAGATATGAACGGAGAGACCTGAACAGATCCGCGAACAGAGACATGAATGGAGAAATGAATGGAGACATGAACGGATCTGCGAATGGAGACATGAAGGGATCCGCGAACGGAGACATGAATGGAGACATGAACGGATCCGCGACCAGAGACATGAATGGAGACATGAATGGAGACATGAATGGAGACATGAACGGATCTGCGAATTGAGACATGAACGGATCCGCGAACGGAGACATGAATGGAGACAAGAACAGAGAAATGAACAGATCCACGCACAGAGACTTAAATGAGAGACATGAACAGAGATATGAACGGAGAAATGAGCGGATCCATGAAATGAGATATGAACGGAGAAATGAGTGGATCCACGAACGGAGAAATGAATGGACCCACGAATAGAGACATGAATGGAGAGACATGAACGGAGACATGAACGGAGACATGAATGGAGAGACACGAATGGAGACATAAATGGAGACATGAACAGAGATATGAAAGGAGAAATGAATGGAGACATGAACGGAGAAATGACTAGAGACATAAACGGATCCATGAACAGAGACATGAAAGGAGAAATGAAAGGAGACATGAACAGAGACATGAATGGAGACATGAATGGAGACATGAGCGGATCTACGCACAGAGACTTGAATGTAGAAACATGAATGGAGATATGAACAGAGATATGAACGGAGAAATGAACGGATCAACGAATGGAGAGACATGAGGTGAGGTGAAATTGGGTTTAACGTCGCGTCCAAGATTATTGCACTTATATAGCGACGTGAATAGAGACATGAATGGAGAGACATGAACTGAGACATGAATGAAAGTTTGAATGGATGATGTTTGCTGCCTTTTTCAGAAATCATAGAGTAGTATAAGGCCAAACAAATACAGTTTAAGCTCTTTTCTCACACATTGACTTATATGCCTGTGTACAACTCCCAAGAATACAGTCAAACAAACAAAGTCAACAAGTATTAAATGACCATGGTCGTTACAGAGCAGGAATATTGCAGCATTTCACAAACATACAAACAAAAAACTCCCCTCAGAATCAATGACCATGACCGAAGACAAAGTGAAGTTGCTGTCATACCTCTGTCCCATTTCCACATTGCAATGTCCCAGCTCCCACCAGACAGAAGTGCCTACCTACGTTGCCTACATTAACCCCATAGGGAGAAGGGTCAATGTCAACATTCTAGTTTCTACAACACAGATAAACACTGGGCCTCGTCAGTGTGCCTACCTGGCCAGGTTGTATAGAAGCAAACATTATAACTCAACCTGCCTGGATATCCACAACAATCTGCATTGTAGGGAATTAAATATGCCCAGTGTTATCAGTCCAATAAACACAATATTAAAGCGTGATTTCATTGTGAGATACTTTTTCCCAAAATAATAGCTTCCTGGTGCAGACTGTTTGAATGACATTTGTGAAATCTGACAGGCAAGATTTTCCTGTATAGATAAATAGAAGTACATCATCAATCCAACAATCAACAAAAGCAACCCGTTTCCTGAAAGTCTCCATTATGAAAGTGAAGTTTGAATGGAATCAGTTTGTCATGTGTTTACACAACAGATCAGTCGACGCTGTCAACAAAGACTCAGCGGTCACGGAATATTTTGCAGAAATGCCTACTCGGTGCAGAACTGTACCTATCCAGCAGTAAATCCCCTTTTGTGCAGAATTTGCTTTTATCTGCCGCAGAATTCATCAAATACACTGCAGAAGTTTAACACTTGAGTCAAAAGCTGGTTTTAAACACATAAACGGATATTTATGCTGTTTTGAAGTGACGATCACTTTTGTACAATTGCTTACCGTATATGACCGCGTATAAGCCGAATTTTGAGGACCAGAAAAAAGATTCTGTAGAAAGGGGTCGGCTTATCCACGGGATACACTTTCATGATAGTATTTTTCAGATCGTGATCTGTCAGAAACATCGCCTGAATGACGGTCCGATAGATTACAACTTCCCGAAAGTTTGGAAGTTGCCACGACTAGAGCCATTATTGTTATAAATTATCAATAAAGTTGTTATTATACACCAATGTTGTCATTATTAAAAAAATGTTATGCATGTTACTACTTCCGATAATAAGTTTTCAATTGAATGTTCAAAGTTTATCGTTCTTCGTAAACTCCACAATCTTTACATGTAACAATATATGTAATTCACAGCTATAATATATAATCCCCAGATAAAATCGCCAATAGCTATTACGTACGTTTTGCAAAGTTCATAAATTGATAGTGAACAAGTGTCTACCTTTATTGAAAGAGGCAAATAAACAACTGTATCGGCGAGTTATTCCGTTCGCCATTTGCAAAAACATGTGATCAGCTGTTTCCTGTGACGTCACAAACGGTGACCACTGTGATTGCTTCCTGTTGTTTAAAGCAACACGGTACACAAGGAAATGAGCATTGATAATAACGGGCCGATTGGTATTGTCATGTTGTTTACACAAACATTTTCAAGTTGTGGGTGCTTAGCGATCGTATTGGGAGTAGGGTAGGGGCTTAATTCCTTTGTTTTCGAGAGATTAGTTTAATAAACTGGAAAAGCCTGTGAGTAAGTGATGGTCATTCAATGTGTTCATAGTATGATAGTTTATTTAATTCAATTGGATTAACATACAATAGTGGTGTAAAGGGGGTTATAAAAGTTGGTATATTTTTACTGACTGACATT